TACAGGCACGCGCCACCATGCCCAGCTAATTTTTTGTAGTTTTAGTAGAGACGCGGTTTCACCGTGTTGACCAGGATGGTCTCGATCTCTTGACCTCGTGATCCACCCGCCTCGGCCTCCCAAAGTGCTGGGATTACAGGCTTGAGCCACCGCGCCCGGCCCAATTTTTAAATTTTTTATAGAGATGGAGTCTCACCCTGTTGCCTAGGCTGGTCTTGAACTCTGAGCCTCAAGTGATCTGCCTCCCTTGGCATCCCAAAGCTCTGGGATTATAGGCATGAGCCACCATACTTGGCCCAGTACTCTTTTTTTTCAGGGCATGATGCATCTCAGGTTGATGCCCACATCTGCAGTTCCCCTGTGCTTACTCCACCCCCTGCACTGGCATTGGTTATGACAAATCTTAAATAAATCTTAAATAGTAGTGTATTGTCAGATGAAGGGATGAATGAATTAAACTTACCTGTACAGATAAGGTATCTAATCTTAGTGACGCTGTTGACATTTTGAGCTGGATAATGCCTTGTCATGAGGACTGTCCTGTGGTGTCGCAGATGTCTAGCAGCATCCCTGGCCTCCACCTACTAGATGTCAGTAGCACCCCAGCCCACCCGACCCCCATTCGTAGGAACCACAAATGTCTCAAAACATTGCTAAATGTGCCCTGGAGGGGCAGAATCACCCACAATTTGGAACTGTTGGTGTAGATGAAGTCTCAAGAAATAGGTGTTTTCTCTGGTAGAGATTATGTGGAGAAAAAAAAAGCAAGCTAAGGATTTGGAGTTTCCCCTCTCCCAAATTTAAAGTGAATGAGGGAAAAAAAAGCCAGCAAAGCCGGACCAACGTGAATCTGGAAAGTGGATGGATGAAAGTGGAGGGAGGAGTGTTCTCAGGGAAAGAACTGATTGAATGTGTCACATTCACTTGACCATTGGCCCCAGTGATTGCTTTCATCAGGACCTGGCTACCATATCACTCATGACAGGAAGGTCAGAATATTAGGAAGCAGTTTTTGTCTGATGCTAGGACTATACGTCACCTTTAGAAGGAATACAAGAGTTAGATTTCAAGACAGTTCACTTTCCTTACTGGTGTTGCTGTTGTTGCAGAGGGATTAGACTTCATCCTAAAACAATTTGTTATTATCATGGTTGTCCTTTTTTCTTGTTTGAAATGTTTGTTTTCTTTCATGAGTTTTGGGAACATTCTTTGCTTGTAGAAACTGAAATAGTGGGGACTCCATGTTTGGATCCCCTTCCACCCTCGTGGAAGCTGTCTTTCTCTCTCCTAGATTTCCCCTCTGGAGTTCCCTTCCACACTCTTTGTGGAAGTTTTCACCTTTCTCCTCCTTTTTTTCTCTTTCTTCACCTAAATAAATAACTTTTCTGCAACAACAACAAAAAAAAAAGAAAAAGAAAAAGAAACTGAAATAGTGGATATGAAAAAAAACAAAACAAAACTGAAAGGCTTTGTGCTTCTTTTACACTGAAATAATGGAGGCTATTCTGCTCATTGGGCCCCAGGGAGCCCATGTGGTGACAGATTTCACAAGCACCCTAGCAAGCAGCTGGGACACAACACAGGATGGGCACAACGCAGGGCCAGCCAGAAGAACTTCTTGTTCGTTTGTGAGAGGAAAGGAGAAACAGACGAGACCCTGTGGAGAAACCTATTGTCGTTCCAGTCCTGGGCTGCAGCTCCTCCTCCCACTTTGTTTTTTTCCTCCTGTATGTGTGATGCATTTCTGTCCTTGTGGCCATCGTAGAAACATTATTTTCCTCACAGTTGCTGTCAGGAGGTCTAAAACTTTGAACTTTCTTTTTGTTTTTCTCCTTGTCTCTCCTCCACCCCTCTGTTAGGGACCAGGAAACTTAATAACTTTTCTCAGTCTTTGAGCTTTCTTCGTGTTCTTCAGGTTAAGCTTTTTTCCCCAATATATTCGAAAAGTGGTGTGTTTAGCCTACTTTCTAAAATAGCTCTAACTGATATGTCTTTCCGCTTTGGTTCTTTTAAATTCCTTTTGTTCTTAAAAAAAAAATCACACACTGTTTTGTTTCTTTAGTCTCTGTGTTGCTTCAAGGAGATTTCTGCCAGCAAACTTTAGATCAGGGTGTGTGCCAATTAGCAGTACAAACTGTGAGTCACAGGAACCGAGCTTCACTCATCACTGTTTGAGGGCTCACAGGGAGTAATGCACTGTGTTGGGGGCTGTACTGCATATACAGGTGAATGAGAATACCAACCCTAGTTTGCAATCTCGTTATACAGGTACACAAATTACTCTATATTCCCTTTGCATAAAATATATTTTTATTTATTTATTTTTTTATGCGGAGTCTTGCTCTGTTGCCGGGCTGGAGTGCACTGGTACGATCTCAGCTTACTGCAACCTCTGCCTCCTGGGTTCAAGCGATTCTCCTGCCTCAGCCTTTTGAGCAGCTGGGACTGCAGGTGCACACCACCACGCCAGGCTAATTTTTTGTATTTTAGTAGAGATGGGGTTTCACCGTGTTGGCCAGGATGGTCTTGATCTCCTGACCTTGTGATCCACCTGCTTTGGCCTCCAAAAGTGCCGGGATTACAGGCATGAGCCACTGTGCCTGGCACAAAATAGATTTCTTTTTTCTTCTTTTTTTTGAGATGGAGTCTGGCTCTGTCACCAGTCTGGAGTGCAGTAGTGCAATCTCAGCTCACTGCAACCTCTGCCTCCTGAGTTCAAGTGATTCTCCTGCCTCAGCCTCCCGAGTAGCTGGGATTACAGATGTGCGTCACTGTACCCAGCTAATTTTTGTATTTGTAGTAGAGACGGGGTCTCACCATGTTGGTCAGGATGGTCTCGAACTCCTGACCTTGTGATCTGCCTGCCTCGGCCTCCCAAAGTGCTAGGATTACAGGCGTGAGCCACTGTGTCTGGCCAGATTTTTATTGTAGTATTTGATATTTACATTAATGAGTCTTACTACTTATGATATAAAATACATTAAGAGCCACAGAGTGGTGTAAACTGTTAGAAGGTTTTAAGACAATTCATTTACAGTATTGCCAGTTACACTTTTCCTTCATTTTTCCTTTTATTATTGTTAGAGGTAAAATAAACCCAAGTCAATGGTAAATGAATATTGGAATATATGCTATTACTTGAAATCAGTATTCTAGATTGTCTTGTTCTGTGTTATAAATTAATGATGCCACTTTCATCTTGTGATTTTTCTCTCTCCCCCTCATTGCTCTTCAGCCACACTAGCTTTTCAGTTCCTCTAAGACATGCTTTATCTTGCTTTAGGACCTTTGAACATATAGCACATCTTGTTGGGAATGTTTATACTCCTGATTTGTATTCATCCTTCAGAGCTGAGATCCATTGTCATTTCTCAAGCCCTCCCTGACCACCACACAGGGCCATCTGTTAAATACTCTCACATCACCTCTATTTATCCCTTATAGGGCTTATTCCTGCTGTAAGTGAGCAACTGAGTGATTGAGTATTTGTTTGAATTCCCCGTTAGAAAGTACAGTCATAAACGCAAAAGTATTATGTGTCTCTGTTCATAGCTATGTACCCAACTCCTGGTACACATTGCCTTATAAATATTAGCTGAAACCATTGATTGAACATCAGCTTTAAGTGTATAAGTCTGTGCTATTGTAGAATGGCTCTGAAGAATTATATATCAATAGATTTTATCTTTATCAAATACAATCTTTATATTTGATAAAGATCTTTGACAAAAGTACCAAGACCAGCCAACAGAAAAGAATAGTTTTTTCAACAAATGGTGCTGGGAAAACTGGACATTCACATGCAAAAGAATTAAATCGTATCTTTATCTAATACCATATAAAAAATGAACCCCCAAATGCACCAAGTACCTAAATTTAAAAGCTTAAACTGAAAACTCTTAAAAGAAAACAGGGGAAAATCATCATGACTATGGATCTAGCAGTGATTCCTTAAATGATATAGAAAGCACAGTTAACAAAATAGAAAGATAAATTTGGACTTCATATATTAAAGGACATACTTTTTTTTTTTTTTTGGACATACATTTTTAAAAAATCTGTTTGTGATTACCAGTTTTCAATTTTCTTAACTATTGGAACTGTCCAAAGTAGAAAAGTTACCTTAAATTTAATTATGAATAATAAGCAAGCTATGTTAAAATTAACTTGACATAATATGCAATTTATATTTTAAAACTATGTCTGAAAAAATTTAGTCATTGTTATATAATCTGCAGTTAAGACTTCAGAAAACCACCTGTGGCATGTAACATAGCAGGTGCACGTCTTGGTAGGTTTGGTTTGTAATTTCATCCAAGATTGAGGACTAAAACAATAGGAAATCACTCCTCTGATTTGTACTCATGATAATGGTGACGATTTGGACCTCTAAAGGGAAGAGAAGTGACATGCTCATAATCTAGGCAAATGCTGCGGTTTCTAGGAATAAAGGTGGAAAAGCAGAAAAACAGGACACTTATCAACAGAGTGAAAAGACAGCTCATGGAATGGGAGAAAATACTTGCAAATTGTAACCTCGAAGCATGTAACATATTTAATCCTTAATCCCTGGTAAGGGATTAATATCTAGAATATGTAAAGAATTCCTATAATTCAACAACAAGTAAACAACAACTAAATTCATAAATGGACAAAGGACTTGAGTAATATACAGATGGTCAATAAGCACACACACAGATGCTCAATATCATTAGTAATTAGGGAATTGCAAATAAAAACCATAATGTGATATCACTTTGAGATACTTCGAGATACCACTTCACACCCATTAGAATGGTGATAATTTTGAAAAAAGGAAGATAACAAGTGTTGTGAGGATTTGGAAAAATTGAACGCTCATACATTGCAGGTAGGAATGTAAAATGGTGCAAAGACTGTGGAAAACAGTTTGCCAGTTCCTTGAAAGGTTAAACATAGAATTACTATGTGACCCTGCAGTTTCCCTCTTAGGTATATACCTAAAAAAACTGAAAACAAAGGCTCAAACAGATACTTCACACCAATATAAAAGCAGCAGTAATCATAATAGCCAAAGGATAGAAACAACCCAAGCATATACTGACAGATGAATTGATAAACAGTATGTAGTATATAAATACAGTAAAATATTATTCAGCTATAAAATAAAATGAAGTTCTGATACATGCTACAATATGGATAAATCTAGAAAACATTATACTAAGTGAAATAAGCAAAATATAAAAGAACAAATTTTACATAATTCTACTTATATATGATATGCTTGGAATAGGCAAATTTATAGAGACTGAAAATAGAATAGGGGCTCTAAGGGATGGGGTGAGGAAGGAATGGGAAATTATTTTCTAATTGTTACAGAGCTTCTGTTTGGGGTGATGATGAGAGTTTTAAGAAACAGTGGTAGATTTAAACATAAAACCTAACACCATAAAAACACTAGAAGAAAACATAGGCAAAACCATCCAGGACATGGGCATAGGCAAGGACTTCATGACTAAAACACCAAAAGCAATGGCAATAAAAGCCAGGATAGGCAAACAGGATCTAATTAAACCCTAGAGCTTCTGTACAGCAAAAGAAACCATCATTAGAGTGAATTGGCAACCAACAGAATGGGAAAAAATTTTTGCAATCTACCCATCTGACAAAGGGCTAATATCCAGAATCTACAAAGAACTAAAACAGATTTACAAGAAAAAAAAAATTCAAAAGTGGGTGAAGGACATGAACAGACACTTTTCAAAAGAGGACATATATGCGGCCAACAAACATATGAAAAAATGCTTATCATCACTAGTCATTAGAGAAACGCAAATCAAAACCACACTGGGATATCATCTCACGCCAGTTAGAATGTTGATCATTAAAAAATTTGGAGACAGCAGATGCTGGAGAGGATGTGGAGAAATAGGAACACTCACACCGTTGGTGGGAGTGTAAATTAGTTCAACCATTGTGGAAGACAGTGTGGCGATTCCTCAAGGATCTAGAAATAGAAATTCCATTTGACCCAGCCATCTCACTATTGGGTATATACCCAAAGAACTGTAAATCGTTCTACTATAAAGACACATGCACATGTATGTTCATTGCAGCCCTGTGTACAATAGCAAAGACCTGGAACCAGCCCAAATACCCATCAATGATAGACTGGACAAAGAAAATATGGTACATATACACCATGGAATACTACGCAGCCATAAAAAACGATGAGTTTGTGTCGATGAGTTCGTGTCTTTTATAGGGACTTGGATGAATCTGGAAACCATCATTCTCAGCAAACTGACCCAAGAACAGAAAACCAAGCACCATATGTTCTCACTCATATGTGGGTGTTGAACAATGAGAACACTTGTACTCGGGGAGAGGAGCATCACACACAGGGGACAGTTGGAGGCGGTAGGGGAGAGACAACGGGGGGTGGGGAGGGAAGGGAGGGTGAGAAGGGATAAGATGGGGAGAAATGCCAGATATAGTATGCACCTAAAGTAAAATAAATAAATTTTTAAAAAAAGAAAGAAATGATGGTGGTTGCACAATGTTATGAATGTACTTACTGCCACTGAATTGTACACGTAAAATAGGTAAAATGGTAAACTTCATATTATGTATATTTTGCCACAGTTTATTTATTTATTTTTTAGTTAAGTGTTAGAGAGTGTGGTGGAAAGCTGTTAAAGTAATAGACAGTGGGATCTGGGAAAGTAACCAAACTAAAGAGTGGTTGGTAGGAAGAAAAGGGAATGTTTGAGGGATTAAAGGTTGTAGTGAGTTAGAAGGCCAGGTACTTAAGGAGTAAGATTGAGAGAACTGAAAACTTTTATTCCAATGTGCTGATTAATATACTGAAGTATTAGACTTCAGTGGTAGAACATGTAAAGGTAAGGATGTGACCATTGGTCATGGATGTGGAATGCTTAAGTAGAGAATGATAGTCTTAGTAATTGAATGTGGTTAAAGTCACACAGGAGGAGGCCTGGAGTTGGGGCTGAAAGCAAGCTTGACTTGGATGTTGATTAGTAGATGCCAGTAGTTGATTTGCAGGAGCCTCAAAGGAAAATGTTTTGTTTTTGTTTTACTTCTCTATTTCTTAGCTCTGTACTTTTATTGTAATATTGACCCAAGGTTTATTGAATTTCTATTTGTTGGGGAGATTTTGGTAAGCGTGTTAGGTTCCCAATGGCTAAACCAACCGTATAGTTAACAGTTGTAGAACTAGACTCAGGCAATATTTTCAGCTCTTCTGTAGGTCAGAGGTTTTTATTGGATTATGTGTATCAGGATAAGTGCAATAAAGGGGAAAAGCACTGGCTTTTAAAAAATGCTTTAAAGTGTGTAGAGTGGGTCTTCAAAGGCTTTTTCCTTAGTTAATTCTGGTTTTGGAAACATACATTGAAGTGTTTTAAAAGGACTGTCTTTGTGGAAAGAGTCTGACCTGAAATTTCGTTGTTTTTTTTTTTTTTTTGAGACGGAGTTTTGCTCTTGTTACCCAGGCTGGAGTGCAATGGCGCAATCTCGGCTCACCGCAACCTCTACCTCCTGGGTTCAGGCAATTCTCCTGCCTCAGCCTCCTGAGTAGCTGGGACTACAGACACGCGCCACCATGCCCAGCTAATTTTTTGTAGTTTTAGTAGAGACGGGGTTTCACCATGTTGACCAGGATGGTCTCTATCTCTTGACCTCGTGATCCACCCGCCTCGGCCTCCCAAAGTGCTGGGATTACAGGCTTGAGCCACCGTGCCCGGCCTTGACCTGAAATTTCATACTGTGTCACATAATTGTTGTAAAATGTGTTCAATTTATAAAATCAAGAAGAAATCATGTAGAAAGGTGCATCTAACTAAAGTATACTTTGCAATTACAGTATGGCCTCTAATTTTGTATTCTCTTAGGGCAGATCTTTAACATAGTCTCTGATTTATATTGGGTATCAAAATACTGTTTTAATCTTTCTAGGAAAACTGGAAATCATTTTCACAACTTTATAAGTTGGCAAGACTTAAGAGCTGTTGAACTTGTAAAATCTTGGAATAATTCTCTTATAATGAAGGTAATCTTTTTCTTCTGTGATTTGGATATTATTGTGTTTTTCCTGTAAATGTCCCTTAATTGTGAGTTAATTATATTATTTTCTACTTATTAGGACATTAAGAAGACACATACACACACTCCCCATTCCAATGAAGTTTAACAATAGTCAATCAAAGACGTATGTAGTAGACTTCAGTACTTGTACCTCAGGAAGTTCTGAGGACGTTTGTGGTGGACCAGAGTTTCACATGTTCGTGAGAATTTGTGTTTCTCCCCTTGAGAAATGGAAAAGATACAGGCTAGATGAATGAAATGCCCAAATTTCATCTTTTATAAAAGCCCAGGGTGGATATTGAGATATTATAGGTAACTTGCAGACTACTGCAAGCTTTTATCATTACCCCCGGACTGGGCATAATGGTTCATGTTTGTAGTCTCGACACTTTGGAAGGCTGAGGCAGGAGGATTGCTTGAGGCCAGAAGTTCAAGACCAACTTGGGCAACATGGTAAGACCTCATCTCTTTAAATAATGCAAAAATTAGCTGAAGGTGGTGGTGTGCACCTGTAGTCCCTGCTACTTGATAGGCTGAGGTGAGAGGATTGTTTGAGCCCAGGAGTTCGAGGCTGCAGTGATTGCCACTGCACTCCAGGGCACTCTGGGTGACAGAGTGAGATTCTGTCTCAAAAAAAAGCCAAAAATACCAAATTGTCCCTGATACATAGTAGGTCATCAGTAGATGACAATGATGTTGGTGACAATGACAATAGTAACATCATGAAGTCAGCTGTTCTTCTGTTATTTGTCCCAATAACAATAATGGGACAATATTGTTGCCCCCACTCCTGAGTGTGGGATTAGTGAGTCAAAGAGTAAAACAGTTTTCCAGCTCCTCAAATGGCATCAGAACTACAGTATTTGATGTCATAATCAATATTCCATACTAACTACTATAATACTTCTAATGCCTCACAGTTAAATGCCTTCTCTGCTAGTGTACTGGTACCAGATGGTGCCCAGGGGAGTGTCTAGAACATCAGTTTTACTTGATAAGTATTTTATGATGTTAATTTAATATGAAAACAAATGTGAATATATTATAGAATATAACAGCAGTGCATGAGTGAAACAATTTTGCCATAATCTCACCTGAACTGATTTTTCTTTTTGAGAGTTAAACATAAAAAAAAAGTATGTTGCTGCAATAACTAGTGAGAGGTACTGTTAACAAGGACGCAGTAACTAAGGGAGTTAAAAGTGGTTTATAAGGAAATGTCATGAACCCTCAATTGTATAATTTTAAATTATGCAATTTATAATGTATGATTTTATACCTTTGTATATGATTTTAGTTTTTAATAGTTCATCAAACATTCTTTAAGTTAGTCATTGAGGTGTTTAAAACTTTTATTCCTTTGGAAAAAAATTGTGATTTGAAAAGAAAAATTGTGATTTGAAAACATTTACTTCCATAATATGTCTCAAATTTCAAATCTTTTTTTTGTTTGTTTGTTTTGAGATGGAGTCTCCCTCTGTCACCCAGGCTGGAGTGCAGTGGCACAATCTCAGCTTACTGCAACCTCCACCTCCCAAGTTCAAGTGATTCTCCTTCCTCAGCCTCCCAAGTAGCTGGGATTACAGGCGCATACCACCACATCTGGTAATTTTTCTATTTTTAGTAGAGGTGGGGTTTCATCATGTTGGCCAGGCTGGTCTTGAACTCCTGGCCTCACATGATCTGCCTGCCTCAGCCTCTCAAAGTGCTAGTATTACAGGAATGAATCACCACGCCTAGCCTCAAATTTCAAATCTTAATGCAGAACTGTGACCTCAAGCACAAAACCGAGCATTTAAAACACTTTTGTCTACTTGATATTGAACATGCGCCTGATGAAAGTTTTGGTTCCTCTTAGCAAAAATATGTACACAAACACACGCTTTCACAGTTTAGCACACATAATGCTAGGGCCTGTCGTGGGAGTGAAGGAGCCCTACTTTGCAGTCATCCGTTTCCAGTTGCTAATGGTTTGATTGAGGCCCTTGGAAATGTTTAGAGTGTTTTTGTCAGAACTGGCACTAATGTCATTAGTTTGGCCAAGGCTAGCCCCAAGCAAAATGGTGCAGTAATTGGGGTGTGTTTGCAGTCTCTTGCCACTGTTGCTTTCTTCCAGTTTCGCCAGACGCCCAGTCTTCTTCTTACTATAGTTCTTATTCTTTCTAATGATTGCTCAGGCTTTCTTCTCTTTGCTATTAGCATAAAATCCCAGCTCCTTACCAAGGTTTGGCGATATTATTCTAACACTTCCTAGACCCCTTTCTCCTGAAGTTGCTAAAGATTAGCAACTCCATCTTTGCCAGCCTGTTTTTGTTCTTGTAGCACTCAAGCTGTTTCTTACCTGAAGACCATTGTACATGCAGGGGATCTCTCTGCCATCATGACTGGATCCTTCTCATTCTTTAGGATCCAGCTTATATGGCACATCTGGGAGCCCCTCCCTGCCATCCTATTTAAAGGAACCCCCTTGCCCTCAATCTCTTAGTTGTCCTTTGTTTCCTTCATTGTACTTACTAAATTTCAAAGATCCTGAGATATGCATTTTATAAACTGAAAACTAAATGGAAATAATTGTAGATTCACATGCAGTTGTAAGAAACAATACAAAGATCCCTTAGACATTTGCACTTTCTCACAATGGTAACATTTTGAAAAACTATAGAATAACGTCACAACCAGGACATTGACATTAATACAATTCATAATTCCTATTAGGATTTCCCTTGTTTTATTTTATATTTGTGTGTGTGTGTGTGTGTGTGTGTGTGTGTGTGTGTATGTGTATGTATGCAAGTACTATACAATTTTTTTCCTATCTGTAGGTTCATGTATCCAGGATCACATGCAAGATACTGAACAGTTCCATCACTACAAAGATCTCTTTTGTTGCTCTTTTATAACTATATCGACCACTCTCCCATACACCTCCCTACCCGCTGTCATTCCTAGCTCCTGGCAACCACTAATCAGTCCTCATTTAAAAAATGTTCTAATTTGAAAAATGTTATATACATAAGATTATACTTTTAAATATATAACCTTTTGGGGTTGGTTTTTAACTTAGTATAATTTTCTGGAGATTCATTCAAGTTGTTGCCTATATCAGTAGTTTGTTCCTTTTTATTTCTGAGTTGTATTCAATAGTACAGCTGTATCACAGATTATTTCACCATTCACTTGTTGAAGGACATCTGTGCTGATTACAGTTTTTGGCTATTACAAATAAAGCTGTTATGAACATTCTTTGTATAGAATTTTGTATGAATGTAATTTTTCATTTCTCTAGGATAAAAACCTCAAGGTCATATGGTAACTGCATGTTTTGTTTTGTGAGAAACTGCCAAAGTGTTTTGAAGAGTAACTATACCATTTGCTTTCCGCTCAGCAACGTATGAGTTATATTTTAACATCTCTGAAATCAGGATGCATTTCTTAGCAGCATGTTAAATAATGATTCATTTTACAGTCTGTCTTCTTAAATCATTTATTGATTTGATTGCTTATTTGTCTTCTCACTAGAATGTAAATTTTAAAAAGACAAGGATTCTGCCCATATTGTTCAGTTTGTTTTTACAAGGCCTAGCAATAGTCCTTGGTACACTAGAAGTCACCTAGTAGATAGTATTTAGACATGTGAATGAAGATGATAATTGTTGTCCACAAATGCAGGTACTGGAGCTTGTAATATTTTTGTATGACCTCTCCACCCATCCCGAGGTATCTGCATTTTAACAGAAGATCCCAGAAGTGTCCTAAATCTAATTTTGTATGTGAAGAGTATAGTTTGTATAAGGAGAAATAGCCCATTTCAGTTTAAATTATTTCTTACAAGAAATGAAAGGAAGGATTATGGGTGGTCACTTTAAATACTTTTAAAAAAACTTATATTTTAATAAATAATGTGAAAATGTATATGCCATATAAAATATAAAGAAATGACCAGGCGTGGTGGCTCATGCCTGTAATCCCAGCACTTTAGGAGGCCACTGAAAGCATGGACGAGGCTTCGCGGATTCAAAACAACAGCCCAGTCAGACGAAGACCATGCTTGCATATGAAATATGATTCATTCGATAAGACATGGCTCATGATGACAAAGAGCACACCCCAAGGGAAATTACATGAGTAATTTCCTTCTGTCTGTGTTAGTGCTAACTTGATTTCTAATAGGAAAGAAAAAGAGCTAATAAGAACTCATTCTTCATTATCTAGTACTAAGAAGAGCTCTCAGGGCTTTCATTCATAGAGACAGCTTGAAGCTAAGATATAAGATTGTGATTAATGTGAAAATATTTGGACTATGAGCCTTCAAAATAAAAGATTAGCTGATAGCTTTCAGTAGTTACTATTAGAACAGCAGTGAATTAATACTATTCTACTACTAAATAGTATAGGTTAAACTTAAAGTATACATATCCCACTGAAATAAAATACTACAAATATAGTCTCCTTCCTAGATTCTCTCCCTTCACTGTCATAGTTAAAATAGGTAGAGAGGGAAAAATATAGTTCTTTAAAAAAAAAAAAAAAACACATACACACACACATTTATAAGGACCTGAGCATCTGGTGTTTGCTAAAAGAATTCAAAGTAGATTTGTTGCATTTTATGTGTTAGAATACAAACTACCCATTAAGGATAATATCACTGTTTTTTATTTCCTTAAGTGCAGAAAACACTTTTATAAGTAGTTAAATGACATGTTATTGGGTTTATTTGCATGTATATAGAGTTGACCTGGAAATTTTAAACATTATTAAATGCATTTTCTTAAAATATGTTTTTTAAAATATAGCTATTTCACAGTTCTTGCCGAGTGCTTCACTTTTTCACTAGAAGTAAACGACTGTTTTCAGCCAGTTTGTTCACTTTCACAAGCCAGCAGACTTCTTTGAGATTGGTCTGGATTTTACAGAACTTGATTGAGGTAAGAAAATATTGTGTGTGTGTGTTTGTGTGTGTGTGTGTGTGTGTGTAAACCATGTAAAGACTGTGGGAAAGAAAAAAATTAAAGGAATAAAGATAGTAATTTGATTATTTGAGGGAAAATTAAGTGTCTACCATATATTGGAATGGAAGACAATGTGGCATCTTTACTTGTTTTTTGTTTGTTTTGCTTTTTTTTTTTTTTTTTTNTTTTTTTGAGATGGAGTCTCGCTCTCTGTTTCCCAGGCTGGAGTGCAGTGGCATGATCTCGGCTCACTGCAACCTCCGCCTCCTAGGTTCAAGCGATTCTCCTGTCTCAGCCTCCCAAGTAGCTGGGATTATAGGCACATGCCACCACACCCAGCTAATATTTGTATTTTTAGTAGAGAAAGGTTTCATCATATAGATAAGGCTGGTCTTGAACTCCTGATCTCAGGTGATCCACCTGCCTTGGCTTCCCAAAGTGTTGGAATTACAGGCATGAGCCACCGTGCCCACCCTGTTTTTCTTTTTCTTTTTCTTTTTTTTTTAAAAAGAGACCTTTTTATTGTGTCATAATACATCTAGAAAGGTGAATAAAAAGAAAAAGTACCAGTCAGATACCACGGAACAAACATCTTTGTAACACCAGCTGAATCAAGAACTAGAACACTATGATACTGTATATCACATTTTCTTTCTTCTTTTACAATTTATGTATTTATTCCTCAGTACCCTACTTTAGTTTTGTTTCAATATCTTTGTGGGTTTTTTTTTGTTTGTTTTTTTTTTTTGAGGTGGAGTCTCGCTCTGTTGCCAGGCTGGAATGCAGTGGTGTGATCTTGGCTCACTGCAGCCTCCACCTCCTGGGTTCAAGTGATTCTCCTGCCTCAGCTTCCCAAGTAGCTGGGACTACAGGTGCACATCACCATGCCCAGCTAATTTTTATATTTTTAGTAGAGATGGGGTTTCACCATATTGGCCAGGATGTCTCGATCTCTTTACCGCGTGATCTGCCCACCTTGGCCTCCCAAAGTGCTGGGATTATAGGTGTGAGCCACCACACCTGCCATATCTTTGATTTATATCAATGGAATTCCTTTGTATGAGACTCCTTTTGCTCAACATTATGTTTTTGACATGTACCAATGTTGTGTGTAAATTAATTTGCTTATATTTTCATTGATATTTGTTGTTCAGTATATGATTTTACCACAGTTTATTGTCTATTCTGTTCATGTACATTTGGATTATTTCCGGTTTTTGGCTGTTATGAATAATGCAACTCTTGGTGTACATGTAATTGCTATGTCTATACATAGGAATGGAATTTTTCAGGCATGAATGTGTATATATATATATCTCTTCATCTTTTTTGAGACAGTGTCTCGCTCTGTCACCCAGGCTGCAATGCAGGGGCGTGATCTCAGCTCACAGCAACTTCCGCCTCCTGGGTTCAAGCGATTCTCCTGCTTCAGCCTCCTGAGTGGCTGGGATTACAGGTGGACACCACTACATCTTGTAATTTTGTACTTTTAGCAGAGATGGGGTTTCACCACGTTGGTCAGGCTGGTCTCGAGCTCCTGACCTCGTGATCTGCCTGCCTCTGGATCCCAAAGTGCTGGGATTACAGGTATGAGCCATGCACCCAGCTATGTATCTTTATCTTTAGTGGATAATGTCAAAACACTTTTGCAAAGTGGTCATAACAATTTATACGCTTGATATCAGTATGTGATCAGAAGACTTTTTATTCCATTTACTATCATAATTGACATTAGTCCTTTACATTTTAGCCATCCTAGTTGGTAAGTAATAGTATCTGAGTGTGATTTTAGACTGGATAATAAAACAAGATCCAACTATATGTTATCTATATGGGCACACTTTAGATTTAAAAAATACAAAGTTTAAAAGTAAGTGAGTGGAAAGCATATATCATGTAAACAGTCATTGTAAGAAGCTGGAGTGGTTATATTGACATCAGGCAGTATAGACTTTAAAACAAAAACATGTTACTAAAGATAAAAAGGGAATTTTATAATAAGATGGTCAATTCATCATAAATTTAACAGTTATAAACACCTAATAACAGAGGTCCACAATATATGAAGCAAAAATAGAAGAATTAAAGGGAAAAATAGATAGTGGAGCATTATTGAAAGTGAGACTTTAGTGCTTGACTTTCAATAATGACTAGAATAACTAAACAGAAGATTCACAAGGAAACAGAAAATTTGATTGACAGTAGCAACTAAATAGACCTAACAGACATTTATAGAAAACTCCACCCAAGAACAGAATATACATTCTTCTGAAGTGTACATGGAACTTTCTCCAGGATAGATCATAGGCTAGGTCATACTTCAAGCCTCAATAAATTTTTAAATTTAAATTTTAAATCATACAAAGTACGCCATCTGACCATAAAGGCTTTGAATTAAAAGAAACAGAAACAACTTGGGAAGTTAAGAAATATATGAAAATTTAAAAACACATTTAAAAATAACCAATGGGTCCTAGAAGAAATCATAAGAGAAATTAGGAAATACTTCATGATAAATGAAAATGAAGACACAACTTACCAAAACTTACTAGATACAGATAAAAAAATCTACTTAGAAGGAAATTTATAGCAAGACTATATTACATGTAGAAGAGTATATTTAAAAAGATGAAAAATGTCAAGTCAATAATCTACCATTCTACCTTATGACACAGAAAAAGATGAGCAAACTAAACCAAAAACTAGCAGAAGGAAAGAAATAATTGAATTAGAGCAAAATTAATGAAATAGAGAATAGAAAAACGATGAAGAAAATCAATAAAACCAAAAATTGGTTCTTTGAAAAGATTAGCTAGACTGGCAAAAACAAGAGAGAAGACCCAGATAACTAAAATTATGAATGAAAGGGGGTGTTAATACTGACCTCACAGAAATAAAAAGCATTAAGTTCATACCAACAAATTAGATAGCCAAGATAAAATGAAAAATTTCCTAGAAATATACAAATACTGGAAATAAAAGAAGAAATAATCTGAATAAATCTATAACCAGTAAAGAAATTGAATTAATAAATAATAAATTCCGGCCGGGCACGGTGGCTCAAGCCTGTAATCCCAGCACTTTGGGAGGCCGAGGCGGGTGGATCACGAGGTCAAGAGATCGAGACCATCCTGGTCAACATGGTGAAACCCCGTCTCTACTAAAAATACAAAAAATTAGCTGGGCATGGTGGCGCGTGCCTGTAATCCCAGCTACTCAGGAGGCTGAGGCAGGAGAATTGCTTGAACCCAGGAGGCGGAGGTTGCGGTGAGCCGAGATCGCGCCATTGCACTCCAGCCTGGGTAACAAGAGCGAAACTCCATCTCCAAAAATAATAATAATAATAATAATAATAATAAAAAATTCCCACATAGAAAAGCCCAGAGCTAGATGGCTTTACTAGTTAATTCAGCCAAAAGTTTAAAGAAGAATTAGCACAATCCTTTCATAAATTCTTCCAAAAAATAGAAAATTAGCTGAAAATAGACAATTGAATAGTAATAGTTAGAGACTTTAATACCCACTTTCAATAATGGATTATACTTCCATTATTGGAGTGAGAAGTACTTCCCAGCTCATTCTTTTAGGCCAGTGTTACCCTGATAACCAAATCAAAGACATCACAATAAAAAAAAACCTGTAAATCAATATTTCTTATGAATACAGACATAGAAATTGTCAACAAGTCTGGATATGGTGGCTCATGCCTATAATCCCAGCATTTTGGGAGGCTAAGGCAAAAGGATTGCTTGAGCTTAGGAGTTTGAGACCAGCCTGGGCAATATAGCAAGACACTGTCTCTCCAAAAAAATTAAAAATTAAAAAATTAGCTGGGCATAGTGGTACATACCTGTAGTCCTAGGAGACTACTTGGGAGACTCGGTGGCAGGATTCTTTGAGCCCAGGAGTTTGAGACAGCAATGATTTGGGATCACACCACCACTGCACTCCAGCGTGGATGACAGAGCAAGACCCTGTCTCTGGAAAACACACAAACACACACACACACACACTCTCTCTCTCTCTCTCTCTCTTTAACAAAATATTAGCAAGTCAAATCCAGCAACATATAGAACGGATTATATATCTTACATATCATGACTAAGTGGCAATTTATCCCTAGAATACAGGATTGGTTTAGCATTCAAAAATCAATTAAAATGGATCTTTTATAAAAACCGGTAAATGTAAAAAAATAGAAAATAATATGCTATATTAATAAAGAATAAAAAAAAAACACATAATCATGTCAGTAGATACAGAAAAAGCATTTGACATTATCTAGCACATCTTCATGATAAAACGCTCAGTAAACTAGGAATAGAGGGAAACTCCTTCAGCCTGATCTGTGAAAAACCCATAGCTGACACCATACTTAATGGTGAAAGACTGAATGTTTTTTTCCCTAAGTTCAGGAACAAGACAAGGATGTCCACTCTCATCACTTCTAATTAACTTTGTAGGAGAGGTTCTATGCCAGGCCAGTTGAGCAAGACAATGTAATAAAAGACAACCAAATTGGAAAGGAAGGAGTAAAACTACGTCTATGATGCAGATGACATGATCTTGTATATTGAAAATCCTAAGGAATTTCCTAAAAAAAATTAGCACTGATATTATAAATGAGTTTAGTGAGGTTGGAGGGCACAAGATCAGTATACAAAAAATTTTTTTTGAGACAGAGTCTGTCACCCAGGTTTGACTGCAGGAGCATGATTGCGGCTCACTGTAGCTTCAACCTCCAGGCTAAAGAGATCCTCTTACTTCAGCCTCCTGAGTAGCTGAGACTTCAGGTGCACACCGCCATGCCCAGTTAATTTTTGTTTTTGTTTTTTTGAGATGGAGTCTTACTCTGTCATCCAGGTGGGAGTGTGGTGGCACGATCTGGGCTCACTGCAGCCTCCGCCTCCCAGGCTCAAGCAGTTCTCCTGCCTCAGCCTCCCACGTAGCTGGGACTACAGGTGTGCACCACAACG